GTTTCCGACAGCAGATTCCGGTTGATCGATTCCCCTTCTTAATTCTCCTTCTATTACACAGTTTGGGCAAATAGTTTGGGGGCGAAGTGCCTGACTGGTAACACGTCAGGCTTCTACCATGAATTTATTATCAGTTTAACTTGGAAGCGTTGTATTAGAACCTACGGACAGGAGCAGGGAGGTTGAGTGCGTACGCTGTTTCCACTAACGACTATCAGTCTTATTGTGTGTCTTATATCGAACAATCCACGAGAATTGTCTCTATAAATGAAGAGCCGAGTTACATGAGAAGGGTCAGAAGTAAATATGATCCTTGAGATAAGGCACTTATTCGTGTGACACTGGACTTTCACTCGAACTCATCATCAGCAACTGGCAATACCATATCTTGTACATACAAGTAAACGCACAGAATGAACAATCCTGTAAATTCCTTACGTTTGACAAACGTTTGAAGGGAGCTCCCCACCTAAATGAGCAGGTACTCCGAAGAAGTAGAATGCAGGCTGGAGTGCTTTTACTGTTCTCGTTGAATATCTTTTGTTCATAACGAGACAAATAGGAAACTAAAATAACGAAGGTAACACAGTTGATGTATATTAGTCTATATTTAAAACAATATAAATATTTGGTAGTAGACTGTGTGTCATATTTCATAGGTAACTTTTAGGCTTTGCCGTTCAATTGTTCGCAAATCCATTTCAAAAAATCACACACAGTCGCTTTTTCGCTGCATACTGTAGAGTTCATTTGCTTCCCTTTCCGCCTAAATAGAAACCTTTTTGCAATGTCCTTATGGTCACTCACTGCCTTCAAGATGTCATTATGGTTAAAAACGCGATAAGTATGTGATCTGGAGCAGTAAAAGCTGGACTAACCGCTTCTAACATATTTACTGATTCTATTCAACATCCATAAAGCTTCAGAAAAGGAACTCGAGTTAGAAATTTTTACGTCGATTTTCCTAGCAATTAACCCCCTGAATTTTGTCCTTACGACCAAAGTGGAAAGTATTTGCAGGTATGATCAAAGAGCCGGCACTTTTTTGACAGAATTGGTAGAACAAAACAATATCTGTTTGTTTCAGAGTCGATGACCTTGAATCCAAATGGGCGATAATGTAGCGACGACTTATTAGAAGTCAAAACAACTACATCGTATGGAATCACTGATATAGGAAATGTTTCTTTGTATATCCTTCAAATATGTGGAAGTCCCTGAACGAACATCAATCATTTCGTTATCTGCGAATGCAAAATAGACTATGCGTACTCCTGTAGTGGACGCTGCCGTCCGACGCCATTGTTCAAGGT